TCAATGTGTTGTGGAGAGAACCATGAACCTCTGCAAGTGCCACTCCACCATACGGTGCACAAGAGTCGATATAAATGGTAAAACGACATTCAAAATTCCTACTAGTGACTATAGGCTGTACTCTGCGTTACTTTGAGCTAAATGCTAACAAACTCTCAGTGACTATGCTAAAATCTGCTTTAATTTAGCAGTGTTCAGTTTGTTAGCGTGCAAACGTGCTCGTGTTCTAATTAAACATTTTATCTATTTAGCAAAATAATGTGGACTGATGGGAATGGCTTTAGTTTTTGCCCTTTTGCTTTGGCAGATTTTGGCCCAGTGGTTCTGGTTCAAAAAAACAAAAACAAAACAGGGTGGCACTAAAGGTAATGTCAAAGGTCATCAGGATTTAACCTCTGGAAACCATCCATATTTGTACAACGACAAGTTCAGGGCAATCTATTCAACCGATGACGTCGAATACTTTGGACCAACAGACTGACTAAGGGTGATTTGCAAAAAAACAAAAGACTTGAGAGCCCGAAGCACGGATGTGTGTGTCTCAGTGTGTCATAGGATGTGTGGGCAGGAAGTGAGTGGAGCCAAAGGACTGAGCGGCTGATACCTCCATTTCACTTTGTGCGTGTGTCAGTCGGGGAGGGGGCTTTATTCCCACCGGCTTGACTAATTCCATTCCCCCGTACTCCTTTACTCTTTACTCTTGAGGGTCCAGTAAAATAATCTGACACAAGCACACAAATAACTTGTGTAGTGTTGACAGGAGTTGGTCAGTGTGCACTTTGTCGCGGCTAGGAGCTCAAAGTAAGTGGATGGATGTACAGCATGGTGATAAAAGAACAATCTTGTGTTTGTGTGTGTGTGTGTGTGTGTATTGTATCAGGACAAACCGTGTTAGCTAGCAGCAATGCAGAACAGAAATAAATACTTAGTTGTGCTGTGTGGTTTTGTTTGTGTGTTGAGTAGGTGTGAGGATAAAAATATGGGAGTTACTTACAGGAAGTAGATACGACGGTGTGTGTGTGTGTGCGTGTGTGTTTATGTCACACAGCCTCTTTTAATATTATTGATATTACCTTTTTAATGGAGCAGTTTTTGTTCATGTTTTTTAGAGATACTAACCTTCTGTACGGCTGCGTTATTTATTTCCCTTGTCATGTGTACAGAATGAACAATGTAAAAGATGTACAATACGTCGTAAAAAACACAAAAAACGTACATTAAATTGTAACATTTCTAACACATTTGCCATAACAAAGGCCACGCCGCAAATATTGTTTCACATGGTCTCAAACAAAAGATGACTTGTAACAATTCTGTGATTATTGGTTAATTGTCATTGCAACACCTGCTTCTGTGCCCCCCCTCCACATCATGGAATGACATCGTGGTTAAATAGCCAGTATGTCTGTCCTACTGTCCATCTGCCTGTCTCTGTTTGAAACTAAACTACGTTTCAGGTCAATGTGCAGATTGTGCCAAAGCTACGGGACATTACCCACACATACACAGCGACACACACAGTGCTCTCCCTGCTGACAGAAGGGCTTGGAGAGTGTGTAATGAGAAAAGGTCCTCATGCATGAAAGCTCACGTCAGCAGGCCAGCCAATCCAACACACACACACACACACACACACACAGTCCTTGAATTGTATCTAACAACACTTCGTTTTCACTTAAGTTCTCTTTTCCAGTGTTCGTGCTTTCTTTTACTCTCCCCTGAGTTTAATACCTGTGTGTTAGTGTTTACTTTCGAGGAAGACTATTCCGCAGTGTTTCTCAAACGTTGACCGCACTTCCTTTTGAACTGCTTAAATATGGTCCTTACAATATGTCCTCCCTAATATATTACCCTCCCATGAGACTTCATTTAATTCCACCTTTGGAAAAACACCTGAAGTGCTGCCCCTTTGTTCTAAACTGACACTAGTGGGAATGTTGATGATTCATATGTCTCATGTTCAAAAGATAGAGACACAGGTACAACAGAGGGCAGTTTTCAGGAGTCTAATTTCTATTATTTATTTGTTTTCTTATTGATCGGGGTTTCGTGTAACTGTAGATCCACATCACATTCCTGCAGCTCAGCACAGTTTCTGCAATCATCCAATTAGAAGTTTTCTTTTTTCTCGTTTCACCTCCGATGCAATGAAAGCCACAGAAGAAGGACGAAAAGGTTTATCGAGCGATGCAGCGTGTATTCATCCTTAGACATCACCTGATGTGCACGTGATACAGATATGAATTAGGGATGCAGCTATTTGTCCGCATTGGATGCTACTCACTTTGTAGACTGGCATCTGCATATCAGAATATAAAATGACTTTGGCCAATGGCAGCGGCCCTTTTCTTGTCCATCCGTTTTGTCACATCAATTATGCACCTGTATATTGTTGGCTATTTGTGGTAGGAATCTGACAACAGTCATCAGGTGCCGATTTGGATAAGACGCCACTGGCATAACGACATGTGCCGTGCACACATGTGGTTTGTGCCAAAATAAATGTGCAAGAAATAATTTTACGATTGAAAAATGAATATTTTTGTTTTGTATGTGAGGAGCATCCTAAGCATTCTCCTCATTAACTATGTACGGAGTCGAAATGGGAAACATAGGAAAAGAAAAACGTTTTCCTTTTTATAGTTATAATTTTTAGCTCAACCAAAGACAATCAAATGCAACGCTGAGTGAGGGGAGACTTGTGTACAAATATAAAACACGAGATTGGTGTGCAAATTTACTGATTTATGTACATATTTACAAAAGAGGGGGCAGGTGATCACAAGTAGTTTACGACTGTTTTAATTCATGGATCAGCAGTAAACAAGTTAGCAAATACAACTTTCAGAGATGCCCTGATTACATTTTGATTTTAGTTTTGTACACGTTCTTCAAACTAGTGCTTGTGTGTGTTTCAGCTCTTATTGAATTCGTTTTTGAAGGACTTTTAGTTGCAGCACTCGGAGTGAAGACTTGTGTGATTAAAAGGGCCGTGTGTATAGACTGAATGTCCTTGTTACAAGATGCTGCATGCACACAGGTAACCCCTCCCCCCCTGCTCATAGAGATTAGCGGCGGGTGTTCCCATCGGCTGGGCTTTGCGGTGTGTCAGGAGTAGGGTGACAAAGGGGCGGAATTTAAGCTCAGGAATTTGGGAAAGTTTGACCTTTTTATTTTGTGCAAAAACCTATAACTGTAAACCGAGTGTAGTTGAAGGCGAGGCCAGCTCAGCTGGACGCAGCTACTTGGGAACATCCTCTGCCAGTAACGTAAACATAACACGTTCTGTTATTTCTTTCTTTATCAGTACTTGACTTGAGTTTACCAAGTAATCAATATGTTATGTTCATTTTAATACCACGTTTATTTGTAAATAGTAGGCTAACTTTTTACAGCAGTGAGCGTAGGATGTATGTATGTCCTCAGAAAAATATACCATCACCTTGATTATTCACGGCTTTTGGGGTCAATCAAAAAGCACGAGTTGGGCGAGCTCTCATAAATAAAAGTAATTACTGCAAATGAATTGCTGAGCAATAAAATTTGTTTTCAAAACCTTCTCTTAAAGATATATGTAATGCAGCACAGGCTGTGTTTCTTTGCATAGGGTGTTGGTAGCTATTGAAAACCACATCCGACATGGATGTAGACCTGAAAGGATTCAGGGACAAACACTAAATCCATGCTTGAGAAGCTTCATTCATTTTAGATTCGGAAGTGGATGTTTTTGTTGTTAAAGGAAAGAATTTAGTTCTACTCACAAAATGGATTAAGTTCAAATTTGTAGATGACAAACAAAATGTTGTTTTGTCATATATGACAAGATAAATACAGTTAAAATACACAAATTTCTAGTTTATTCCCGTATTTCACGTTAATTCCCTTGGAAAGTTTCCAACTTTGAAGATTGCCGGAATTGCGACCCGGGTCAGAATGCCAGATCCTCAACAGGACGAGACAAATGCACTGAGTTCATTGAGATGTTTCAGGAAGTTGCCAGGTTTGATCCCCGGTCCTTTCTGAGCAGAGGTCTTGTTGACCCGTTTTCCTGTGGAGATGTTGTCAGTCTGTATTCCCTCAAAAATTTTGTCCCAACCTGGATCAGTCTGTCCGGATCAGTCAACAGGTTTCTCGTGCCCGGTCTGCTGTTTGCTTACTGCCATCGCTCTGCCAACTCCTATGTTTGACATTCGTCCGTCTGTAGGTTTCTGCTGCCAGTTTGTCTGCCAAGGCAACTGTCTAACCGCCTTTGAGTCTGTCTGTCGGTGTGTCCTTGTGTGCATGAACATTTAAAACAGCAGGACGGGCTTCCTGCTTGGCCCTGTGGAGCCTAAATGTCAGCTTTGCCTAACTGGGTGGATGTGAACACTTTCCCCCCCACAACCCCCTTTTTTCCCTGGAATC